GATTGTGAACACAACCGAAGTCATGGAATGCACCTTTCTAATCATGGAAACAGATGAGTAAGTACTGGATCTGGAAACTTACCCTACTGGGATCTCCTGCCTTGAATCTGTCGTGCAGTCACTCCTCATGGCATCGTCACCGCCACCACCACCGCTGTGCGAAGAGCGTGTCTCCACCATCACCGCCGCGTGATGTAGATCCGGCGATGTGGACTTCACGACATCGAGGCCATGGTTTCTGTGGGAGCCCGCGTCGCCGCCGAGTGCTAGGGTTTGGGTCGCCTTTGTCGTCGCCGATCTAGGGTTCGGGGCTGGGATAAGACAGAGGGAGGGGAAATGGCAACTACACTGTCTAATCTATGTGGACCCACTTGTAAGGAAGGCCCAGGGGCAACCAGTGTCCAAAACGTCTAGCCGTCACGGTCAAACGGCGCTGACCAAGCGGAGCTGTGACAGAAGGGCATTCGAGCTGACGGAGGGGAAAAACTAAGGGCAAAACTGAGCATGCCCGAAAAGTAAGGGCAAAACCCGGGGGTGTGAACCAACTAGGGGCAAAGATGCAATTATCCCATTTTGATAATATGTCGAGGACCAATTGCTTGCCTAATTCTACTCGGTTAGAGCCCATCTATAGTCGAACACCTCAAACCCCCTCAAACGTCAGGTGGCGGCCCAGTCACGCACCGACCAGTCAAGAAAATGCAACCCAGACAGACGCTTCAAATCGGTCTCAAACATCTGGGCTGGCCGGCAACCCTCATATCTAGCCCAAATATGGGGCATGTATGGACTATGGGGGTGGCCCGGGTGCGTCTGCCACGTCGGAGTCGGCCCACCCAACCCCACATATATTCGTCCCCATCTACTCCCCGAACCAAACCATAGCCACTGCACTTCACTCCACCCCCAAACTCCCGCCTGACGATCTTCAACCTTCCCCCGGCATGGTGGGCAGAAGATCTGACTCTGACCACTCTAGATCTGTCGACTGGGGTGTCGTCCCATGCGGGGTGGAGGAGGCAATGGCCGTCCTCATTGCCCTTCGCCGCTCCCAGGAGGACTACGCCCGACCGACGGTAGGACATGTCCGGCGCGAATCCATTGCATCGACATAACGAGCGCTCGAATCCTCCGGGGGTGGATCATCGCGGTCCCTTAATTAGCTTCCCCATCTCCAGCAGGCCGGAGTATGAGAGTTACCGGGACCGGTGTGCCTGCCGTGGGAAGGAGAAGATGAGGGTGGCCAAGGTCCGCCGCGCTGCCAACATGGCGGCTGCAGATGTGCCGGCGCGCGCTGCCGTGGAGGTAGCCATCCGTGCTCGCGTCGTAAAGAAGCTGCAGCGGAGGAACACATGCGCCCTTGCCCAAGAGCTGAATCGAGCGGTCCATGCCATGGCCGGATTGCCTCCCAAAGAGGAGAAGGAGGACAACAACGGGTCGGACAACTCTGACGACGAGCAGATTCGGCTTGATCCATATTGCATTTTTTGTCTACTACTTCCACGAGAAGAACGACAAGGGCGCCGGCAAGGACAAGGGCAGCCGTAGTCCGTGAATGATCTTCTCCATAGCCAGTATGTAGGTAGAATATGTCAATTTTTGGTAGTCCGATGGTATATCCTGGTGTACTAGCCGGACCATGTGTGTTGCATGGTTTACGTAGCGTTGCATGTCTATGTATGAATTTAGATTTTCTAATTGAGGTGTCTGGTTGTGTGATTTTTTTAGGTGTGTTTGTTCGGACAGTGCCCACGGACGTTTAGATGCCTAAATTAGGGTTGTAGGTGCTCTTAATTAATAATTAAGTTTGTCATGGCTTGACATAAAAAAGAATAAGAAAATGAGCAGCAGCATCTTTTGTTCTCTGAATCCCAACGAGTAGGTCGTCGTAATAGAAGAACACTAAATAAAGCGAAAGCACAAAGCAGCAAACAATAGTAAGCCGAAAACAATAGCTGCACAGGGACAAACAAACAGCAGACACATACATACAGGTCGTACCCTTTTTTTTTAACATACCGTAGGCGAGTACGACAATGTAAAAAACGACTCATTTAAATCGTTCTCCGCATCGACGCTTTACACGTGCGGCGAATGTCAAAAACTAGTTTATTTAGCAGCAGCTTCCTTTTCAACAAAAATAATTAGCAGCAGCACACAACACAGCCAATTTAGTTTGACTGCTCTCTGCTGACGCTAATCCCAACTCCAGCGCCACTAACCTCTGCTAGGACTAACCAATCATCATGGGTAGTACTCTCTTCTCTCCGTCTGAAGATACTTGTCATAACAAATCTCGTCGCACCATCAGACACAAGGAAATAATCAGCTACTAGTAGTAAGAAAAGAAACTATGAACAGACAAATTACCGTGGGCTGAACTTCCACAAGCTCCCACGGTAATCTTTCAGCCCGACGGTTTCCTCTCGCCGCAACCAGCAGGCAAAGTTCAGCTCAACTTTTACCCGGACCAACGCAGCTCCGGTCCCCGCACGTCAGGCCAGGCCAGCAGCAAAGCTGCCGATCTACGACGGTATGTGGTTAGTGTCCGTGAATCGGCAGCGCAATGGTGCAGCAGGCTGCGAGGAAGGTGCGTAAAATCAGCCACGATGCAGCCCACATGTTTGAACTGAATTAGTACGACCTGACCCCATGTCCAGATGCATCTGTCGATATGCTTTCCGCTGCTAGAATATGCCGTCGACGTCTGAGGCCTTGTTCGCTAGCCAGAGCCACCTACCCCACCACCCTCGTCTCGCCTCCAACCTCTTTCGTCTGTTGGAGGAAGAGGGCTCGTCAATGGTACCGGCGTTGGTCAAGTATAGATGGCGATGTTTCATCACGCCTCAGGATTTTAAGCTAATGAACTGTTAATGCAAGCAATCAATCAATTAGGTTCACATGTGCCTCCGTTTCGAAAAAATTAGGTTCACATGTTTGATAGTGAAGGTAGCTAGTTAAGGGGATAACTCCTTTGCTCAGTGCTCCACTAACTACTCACCTATATATTGTAATGTGCAGTCGTGATGGTGCATATACTGAAATGAAATTAGGGCAACTCCACCGGTGGTTCACCAAAATGAATACACCAAATGTCTGCGGATGCGTTCGGATGTGTCCCCGGCCAATAGATGGAGGACCGGCCATCTAATCCCGTGCACCAAACTTGTTTTGTGCTAGTTCAAACGGACAATTCAAAAAGACGAATGAAATCCATGCAAATTAGACGATATTTGTTAATATTTGTTACATTTACAATCAAAAGGATGGAATTTAACAAAATTCAACCAAACATAAGGAAATTTAAACTGAACCTAAATTAAGTTAAGCAAGGTAACAGACGGTGACCTTATAGTCGTAGGCATGGCCTCCGAGGCCACCGGCACCTCCGTCGTTGCCGCCGTCGTCATCCTTCCTTCGCAGCAACCCTCATTGACCGCCACTCGGCTGCCTCCGTCTGGCGTGACAGACTCGGCCCGACCGTTTTAGATCATACCACTTCGTTGTTTTACATGCAGAGATATGCTAGGCTCACGACAGTGTTTTCATAGTACTAGGTCAGATTAGGCCCAATAGGCTAGGATTATATTTCCTCGTTTTGTTGTTTCCTATGTTATTATTTACTAAAATGATTTTGATATTTAAAATATAAATCCGTCTCCTAAAAATCCAGAAACTTGCACACATACCGATAAAATATAGAGAATATATTTCCCTCTCCATATAAAATTTTCAAATAGTTTTTTAATCTTTTAAGGACATTATAATTTCCATAAAAATAGTATTATGGTTTTATAAATACCCAAAATGATTTCCGAATAAGAAAATATTTACATGCGCACTATTAGATACTCCCTCCGTCCCAAAATTCTTGTCTTAGATTTGTCTAAATACGGATGTATCTAATACTAAAACGTGACTTGATACATCCGTATCTAGACAAATGTAAGACAAAAATTTTGGGACAAAGGGAGTATTTTTCAATGTTATCTTATGGAGAAGTCATATTATCTCCTCTCATTTTGTTACATGGTTAATTCAAAAATAATACTATTTAAATGGCATCTAAATGCAAATAAATCAAATAAACTCCATTTTTTCAATTGTCCACTTGGAGATTTATCTCTTTTCTGTAATTTGAGTAGGAGCCATATCCAATTTAAAATCCAAATACCATATTTGAGAAAGTCATTTTATTGTTTTCTACCTTATTTACTGCAATCATTTTGATATTTAAAATATCAAACCATCTCCTAAAAATCCAGAAACTTGCACATATACTGATAAAATATAGAGTCTATTTCTCCATCCATATAAATTTTACAAATAGTTTTTAAAACCTTTCAAGGATGCTATAAATTTCTTAAAATAGTATTAGGGTCTTATAAATACTCAAAATTATGTTCAAATAACAAAATATTTATATGCTTACTATTAAATATTTTCAATGTTATTTTATGGAGAATTCATACTATCTCCTCTCATTTTTTATATGGTTAATTGGAAAAATATCTAAATGGCATCTAATTGCAAAATAGTCAAATAAACTCCATTTTTTCAATTTTCCCTTTTGTGTGTCATTTTATACCATATTTGAGAAAGTCATATTATTCTAACTCATTTAAATATGGTTAATTTTTAGATATTAAATCCTTTTGAGCTTAAATAAATTCCCAAACCAAGAATTAATATTGTTGGATAGTTACGCCATTCCAATTTGGATGACATGGTTTGGAAAAGTTTTCACCAAGACTCAAAAAGTTTCTATTTATTCTGAAAATCAAAGCAACTCATTCAATATTACCTATTTATTTATTTAACATTCCAAAATTTGAAATCTTTTGGGATGTTACACTTAGGATCTGAATTTGAAAGGGTGGACGGCCCAAATGTGGGCACACCGAAAGCGTAAACACGCGGGGCGTGTCCACTTAACCTAACGTCTGGGCCTAGTAAGTGAAAAATAGTGATCCAATGGGTGGGTTTCCACGCAACCGGGTATGGCGGAACCCCCGCCCAAACTCCGGGCAGCCGCCGCGACGTCATGGCCGGAGCTGCTCGCGCCATTCGACCTCTCTCGCCTCCGAAGCACGCTCTCCTCCCGCCCGCTCACCCCGCACCGTCTCGGGCGCCTCCTCGCGCTGCCGCTGTCCCCGGCCACCTCCCTCCTCCTCCTCCAGTGGTACGCCGCCTCCCAACCCGTCCTCTCGTCGCACCCCCTCCGGCCCTTGCTCGCCGCCGCCGACGCAGACCCAGAGCGCGCGCTCTCCCTCCTTGAATCCCTCCCCTCCTCTCGCCACCCCCCTCTCCGGGAGACCCTCCTCATACCGCTCCTGCGCTCCTTGCCCCCTGGCCGCGCCCTCCACCTGCTCGACCAGTTGCCCAGCCGATTCGCCGTCTCGCCGTACTTCCGCTCGTACAACACCGTCCTCGCGGCACTGGCCAGGGCGAACTGCCACGCCGATGTGCTCACGCTCTACCGCCGGATGGTCCACCGGGACCGCATCCCACCCACCACCTTCACCTTCGGTGTCGCTGCGCGCGCGCTCTGCCGCCTCGGGCGCGCTGATGAGGCGCTCGCGATGCTCCGCAGCATGGCGCGGCATGGGTGCGTGCCCGATGTGATGCTCTATCAGACGGTCATCCACGCTCTGTGTGCCCAGGGTGAGGTCGCCGAGGCTACCACGCTCCTCGACGAGATGTTCCTCATGGGGTGCTCTGCTGATGTCAACACGTTCAATGACATTGTGCACGGGCTATGCATGCTTGGGCGTCTCCGCGATGCTGCGAGGCTTGTGGACAGGATGATGATAAGAGGCTGTGTGCCAAACACCATGACATACGGGTTCCTTATCCAGGGCCTGTGCCGAGCAAGGCAGGTGGATGAGGCACGCACAATGCTCGGGAGGGTGCCAGAGTTGAATGTCGTGTTATTTAACACGGTGATTGGCGGGTGTCTTTTGGATGGGAAGCTAACAGAGGCGATGGAGCTGTATGAGATAATGGGATCAAAAGGCTGCCCACCAGATGCACACACTTACAGTATATTGATACATGGGCTTTGCAAGCTTGGGAGGCTTGGTTCGGCCATGCGGTTGCTTAGAGAGATGGAGGATAAGGGTTGTGCTCCAAACATAGTAACCTACACGATCTTGCTGCATGGTTTTTGCAGGAATGGCATGTGGGATGACATGAGAGCAACACTGAAGGTAATGTTGGCAAATGGCTTGAGTCTGAATTTGCAAGGATACAATGGAATGATTTATGCTGTATGTAAGGAAGGCAGGATGGATGACGCGATGTCACTCATGCAAGAGATGAAGAGTGAAGGTTGCAAGCCTGATATCTGCACATATAATACAATAATTTATCATCTCTGCAACAATGGCCAGATCGAGGAGGCTGTGTATCTATTTGAAAATTTGGTTGACGAGGGTGTTGTTGCGAATAGAATAACTTATAATACACTCATTCATGCACTGTTGTGCAAAGGAAGTTTGCAGGATGCCATACGGCTTGCAAATGAAATGGTACTTCATGGTTGTTCACTTGATGTTGTTAGCTATAATGGTCTGATTAAAGCCCTGTGCAAAGATGGGAATGTGGATCGGAGCATGGTGTTGCTCGCGGAAATGATAGAAAAGGGAATTAAGCCAAATAACATTTCATACAACCTCTTGATTAGTGAGCTCTGCAAGACAAGAAGGGTGCGTGATGCACTAGAGCTCTCGAAGGAGATGTTAAACCAAGGGCTTAGTCCTGACATTGTCACATACAACACACTCATAAATGGATTGTGCAAAATGGGATGGATGCATGCTGCGCTGAATCTCCTAGAGAAGTTACATTCTGAAAATGTGCATGCAGATACTATTACATACAATATCCTCATTAGTTGGCACTGCAAAGCGAGATTGCTTGATGACGCTAATATGCTTCTAAACAGAGCAGTGACTGTTGGGATAACACCTAACGAGCGCACTTGGGGAATTATGGTGCAAAATTTTGTCAGACAGCCACTCAATTTTTTATCCGACGAGGTTGAAGGGCATTAATTTTCTTTTTGCCGTGTACTGTATGTTGGTTGTCATGGCTTTTGGAGTTTACTACAACTACAGATGTTGTAAAGATCAGAATGGGCAGCTCATGGTGTCCATCATAATGTTCACCATGCTTGACCTGGTATGTATGTTTCCTGTTGTAATTAGAAGTTTGTACCTTGTATCCATTGGCCTTTAGCATCACTTGGTTATTTTGTTGTACCACTAGTAAGCGTGCACGTGCAATGCATGTCTCGCTAGAAATCAATATTTGAATATATGAACTTTACATTTTCAATTTACATATGGCGATATGTAATCTTATGTGTGCAGTGATTTACTGTACATTGCACGTACACTGCCAATTTAAATCTTGATGGGATATAGTACTTAACAGACTTGCCTAAAGCATATTGAGATTAAATCCGCCACCAGCATTCACAAGTCAAGAATCTTAATGAACACCCGTAACATTTCCCCCTTGTTGAGCCAATAAAATACCTATTTCAATCCAGACACCTCTATGGGGCATATCAGATCATCACAATGAGCAAAAGATGTACAGATAAGGTAGAATAAATCATTATATATTTCTCATAATATTACGACATCTACGGTTCACCGTCATTTAGGTATTTAACTGTTGAGACTATCGCCGGTGTTGCCTGAAACACCACCTCCATAGCTCAGTATTCTCCTTGACACCGATCTGCCGGCCTAATCCTCTTCTTCCGCGTTGTTTAGCTCATAGAATACCGTTCCTCATTCCAGGCTACATGTTGGTTCTGATCAAAAGCAGTAATTAGAAAACAAATAATGTGAGCTCAAATACATGCTATAGAAAATATATTTCAGTTGCAGCTTATACAAAGAATATATTAAGCGTGCACATGCAATGCACGTCTTGACTAATGTTACAACCAGATTTTCAAATTCACATGGATATAAAAGATACTCTGATAGCACTAAAAACATATTACAAAGCGACCTATAATTTAAATGATTTTCAAGCAACGCTATAATTTAGCATCATATGCATACAGTGAAGACACCTAATTATCTCAGTATGTCTTAATATACTAATCAATTCTTGTACAACATCAAGGATGCATGTTGTCTGTGGCTTCATTGTCAATGCAGTTGAGTATATGCACCAAAATCACTTTCTTACCTCACAACTATCCTCTTTGAGAACTATAGGTCGTTATCTTGAGAGTTTTCATGAGGTAGAATTCAAAAAGTTGCAATATTAAATACTCACCTTGCAAATTGGCTGGTTCAATTCTTTCTCGTTCCGTGAGTGCATAAAACCAGAAGCAAAATAACTAGAGAGACATGCTACATTGGAAACTAACTGAAATCATGCACAGCTGATTTGCATGCTTGCTTGTCTGTGGCACATCTGCTTAAAAAACGTGGCTTGTCTCAACAGACAAAAATGAGATCAAATATATCTTGGGATAAGTAAATAATTCAAGTCCGCATATGCTATAAAGGAACGAATCCGATCTATCTAAATTTTAACCTTAAAGGCTGCCAGCCAACCCGCCTCCATGGCGCTCCTCTTGATCGGGCGATTTCTGTCCGTTGGATCTGAGTAGATTTCCACCTTGGCTCCCCTTGGCCATCCGATTTTGACAGCTATTTTCACTTTTTTACGTGAGTATGACTGGTGAGCCTCTTCTTAGGTGGGGTCACATGAAGATGGGTGGGTGCTGCGATGTGAGGGTCTGATTGGTTATTCCTCCTGGAAAGCCCGTTGAGCACAACCGCACGAACCCTAGCCCCCAATCCACAACCGCCACACTCCTCCACCCTAAGTCATTCTCCCTTGTGAGCCTCCGCTCCAACTCCTCCCTCCCTCGTCTCTGCCTCTTCTCCGCTCCGAGCTCCTCTGACGCTTCCCAAGGTCATCGTCTGATGCCGCCCCTACCGATGAGATCCATTGCCTCTCGTCATCACCGCCTCCATTTCCCCATCCATCCGCACCCCGCTCGGCTACGGCGTCCACGATTTGTGGTGTCACGGGGCAGATGTGTGGTAGTGTGCGAAGGGAGGCCGGCCGCCGGCCGGCGCGGTGAGGATGCGTAAGTGGCGGGAGAAGGGGGAACGGCGTGGCGAGGACCACCGCGGCATCTTGTGCTGCTTGCTAGAAGCTGCAAGCCCTCATGTGATCTTGCTCGTCGTCTTCCCGTGCACAACATCCAGGTAGGCAATTAGCAACTCCACTTTTTATATATTTTTGGACTGTTCGATGGATTAATCTCGATTTGAGATGTTAATTGTGAATTTGTTCTTATGCTCATGAATATTTTGCAAATGGAAGAGGGGATTGTAAATCTGTCTTGTCTTGTAAAAGAATCATGTTCTCACCTGAATTGATAATGTGCTGCTTGTGTAGGTCCATCAATTTGTTAATCCAAGATTTGGCTCAGGAGAGTGCAGCATATGCAGGTTAGTATAATTTCTGGTCTACCTGTCCATGAATCTGATGTCACTGAGTTTCTAAAAATTTCTGGATGGCTTGCTTAATTTCCATCATTAATCATAGTGAATGGTCTCCTTGCAAACAGGTAGACGCGAAGACGGCGAGTCGGTGACCATGGTTGCTCTGTTGAGTTCAGGGGAGCAAATCAACCGAGGAACTCTGATCTTATGATTTTTAGAATGGTTTATGTGTAAGCCACAAATTTTCGTGCATCAAACTGTAAATCTTAACGAGGATATGTGTGCTATTTGTTAACCACATCATATTGAAGTTGGTAACTCAACATACCCACTGCATATTAGTACCCTAGTGAATGCCTGAAAATATTATCCATTCACCAAAAATATCACTGCGACTGAATACATGTTTCTGTACTAAGTATAGTTGTTTTCATGTCATCTAGATCGTACCAAATATAGTAACAATCAAATCTGCAATTCTGGGCAAGGTTAAATGCTACTCCCCCCATTCCATAATATAAGACCGTGTGCCACAGGTATATTATGGGATGGAGGGAGTATTAAAAAACTAGTCTTGGTTTAGTATGGCAGTAATTGTTGGTCACAGCCATTAAAATGATTTATTAGTTCTATCAGGTTATTTAAACTGCGGCAAGGAATGAACATTACAGCTTATCTGCGTCATGACCCTCTCTGATTTTCGTTGATGTTGTTTCATTCCTTGTCCAAGTAATGCTTGTAAGTCTTTTGTCTGAATTGAAATATTACGTCATATCTGTATATTTTACCCCACATCATCTTCAAAAAGATGTTTCTTTTCCGCAGCCCAGAGAGAGCATTATTGTGGACGCCGGTGAGCATCCTTCTTCCTTCTGAATTGTGTCTAATTGCCTCTGGTCATAAACAGCAAGCCACTGATGGAGGAGCCGTCCACTTCATGCTGCGATTATTCAAGCTTTCCGTACTAAGAAAGCACTGACTGCCAGTAAAGGGAAGTGGACCGTGTGCCACAGGTATGGTTTAGCAGTTTGTCATGTGGTTCCTTCTTTGCAGTGTGTCGCTTCTTGTTTTTCGATGGTGTTCTGAATGCAGTTCTGCTTTGCACCAGAGCTCTTATTGACCAGTTAACTATTAGGATGATGTCATGATGATGCCTACCCTGCATCCGTGCATCGGGCCTTCTGCTCCATGGATCGGAAATGAGATCCTTCTGTGTTACGTTTCCTAAGATTATTTGCTACTTTATAGCACTGTATTTCCATTGTGGCTGGATCAGGCACTATCTGATACCATGTAATACATGCCTTGAAGCATCAACCTTTATGACATTTCGAGAATGGCAGAAACTCCCTTGTTAGATTTGCTAAGAAAGTATGCTACCATGTACTCCCTCCGTCCCATAATGTAAGACGTCTAGGATTGTGTGCTACTTACCCCCATTATAGGAACGTCTTACATTATGGGACGGAGGGAGTAGTATAGTATTTGCAGTTACTATGTGTGCCGTCTAGGATTGTGTGCTACTTACCCCCATTGTTTGTGTGAATACCTTGTTTCTGTATACATGCGTTGCAGGACATAGGTCCGCTTTTCACGCAAAAGGGCGCACCTGACCACCCAGGAGGCGCACAAAGGCACGCTGAAGCGAAATCATTCTCTTGTCGGCCCTGTAGCTTAGCAGATGTGTGCAGGTTTGCCTGTAATCTATATTTTGGTATTTCATTTAGCTAAGTTCAGCAAACACTTGTTTGTTTTCTTACATAACGACCGAAGCAAAATTATTCTCTCGCAGACTCTGTAGGCTACTGTTTAACTGTTATTGTTGTGGGAGCCATTGGCTATTTATGCATAAGATGGAAGGTGAAGTCGGATTTTTGTGACGGGAATTGGATTTTTTCCAGATGGCTTGCTCTTCGTGATGTGGTTGGTACTAATGAACTGATGGCAGGCATCAAGGTTGCATCTTAGCCACATTTCCCTTTCTATAGTTGCCATTTAGTTGATTAACATACATTGTACTATTTCAGTCAAGCATACTCTGGGTCAATAAATATTGAATCAGCTACTTTTTATATCCCTGGACTATAGTTATTAGATGCATCAGATGCCGTGCATGTCCCATCTTTTCCCATGGTGCAGTGAAAGGTTTTGCATTTAGTTGTAGTTCAGTACAGTAAAATGGTGTCCAGTTTTTTTGTCCTTCAAAAAATTAAATGATACTCCCTTTAGGACTGTTTGAGCTTGAGCACTATACAATGTGGATATGCTGATCGTTTCTTATGTTTTTAACATCTGTAGACAATGTGATGTCAATTCTGTATTCAATCCTTCACTTGAGTGAATTACTTGTATCGGGGGCTGCACTTTATTCTAGACAAAGAATGTGCAAATTATCAAGTGAAAATGAGTCATCAGATGTGCTGTTGAAGGATGGATAACATGACAAGCGATCAAGTTCATGAAAGGAGTGGTCAATGTTGGTGCATATCTATATTTCTTTGATATCTGTTGATACTTATTAGGTTGGAAGTGCAAATTCTTGTCTGCTTTCTACAGACTGGGGAGCG